TGGCAGAGGAAGAGGAGAAGCACATGAGCATCCGTGGTGGGAAACTGACTTGCAGGCTACCATACGCACTTTGTAGATGGCACAACCAAGGCTTGCTCATTAGACCATAGTCTGCCAGGATAGGGACCTTGTCTATCTTCTTACCATTTCTATTTATCACACAGTAGATGACTGGTAAAGATGCTTAGTAATAAATGAGTGAGTCTTACAGGAAAAACTACATTATTTACATGTGTACTTAGAAGTTGTTAAAAACAATCCAAACTCAAGGCTTCTAATTCTTTCCAGCATGTTATCAACCACAAATTAATAAATCAGAAAAAAGATTCTGATAGAGTAATAATGTCGCCATTTTGTGAACTGGTGGCAAAAATGGCAGCCGTGCCCCTTAACAGAAATTCCTGTGCTCTAAAACAGCTCTGCCCCTACGAGAGACTCCTGTGCATGCACTAACTTCCTTCACCTCCCCCTTCTATAAAAGCCACGAGTCTGTGCTGCGCCATCTTTCCCTGGCCAGCCTGGCAGTTCGGGCCTGCCATTAAACTTTGCTCTTGGACGTGAGACTTTTCTCCTGAGCTTTCTTTGTGAGCGGCATTTTTCCTAACAGATTCAATCTTAGATTCTGAAGCAGGGGAGAAAACTATTATTGGCAGACATGGAATAAGAGGAGGCTCATTCTCTTAGGTGTCACGAGGAAGGTATTTAATTTTTCATTAGTGTGTATTTTGTCGAGTTTCTAAAGAAAGAAGATGTTCCAAGAAGGACGAATTTAGGAGCATCTGATAGCCACGTTACATCTCACTACCAACACACTCAGAATGAAAGAGTCCTCTCATTTTAACCCAGAGCTCATACCTAGTGAGAATAGGCAAAAAAAATTAAAATTAAAATTAAGATTTAAAGTCTATCCATTAACTAGAATGAATAGAGATTAATTTAAAATTCCCTGAGATCACTTGAAGTTATTCTTGTATTGTCTTTGAAAGAGTCAGGAAACAACTGTTCACCATTTTATGTAGGGCAGTCATTAGAGTACTAGAGGGTATTTTTCGACATCTCTCAGTCATTGTTTCTTTAAGAGAAATAATTTTAATTGCTCCAGCCTTCCTAATATATACCATTCTTCCAATATTGTTAAACCTTTTTGGCTCTTTTCTCAATATCTTAGTTTTCTCCACAATCTTAATCTGAGGGACTAAAAATTTGTCAAGAAAATAATTATTTTCAGTATTTTTGTTTCTTCTCTCAAGTCACAATTAAAATAATTTAAATATTTTCCCAAATTAAACTAAAAGCTATGGAAGAGGCAAAGAAGTAGAAATCACTGACCTTAAACTCAAAGAACCGGTCACTGAATGTAGAAGGCAAGATCCACAGAAACTCCTAATAATCCGAGAACAATATCACACGTGTAATTCAAGTGCCAGACTCTGAGATAAAGATTAACAATGCTTTGGAAAGTCAGAAAAGCAGCAGAACATATGAACTAAAAAACGATTCATGAGTATCAGTTATTGCAGAGTACCTTAAAGAACATCTAGGGTTTTAAGAGAAGAGCAGGATATGGAAGGAGGAGAAACGGGGAGGGTGGAAGTCAAGACCTATAAGAGAGAGCTTTTGTGGAAAGTACACCCAAGATACTTCTTTTTTAGAAATCTGCTTTTCCCCAAAGCCTTATATTTATGGTGATGGTTACCCTATTGGATACCTATCCATTACAGATTTCATTCAGATCCATGAAAAGTATCATCGCTCTTCTTCCCAAAATGACTCTATCATAAATTCAACAATTTGTTTTCTATCATTAATTGTATTCTAATTCTATCTGTTCTCACAATTAATATGATTATATTTAGCATACATAGAACATTAAAAAAGACTGGGATGAGGCATCATATGATCACTTCAGATTATAGAAATTTAATAGGGTTATAACATGTTAGGGACTCAATAAATGATTAATCAATGGAAGAAAAAAAGAAAGAAAAAAGAAAAGGACAGATTTTGGAAATATTCTTCTCATGAACTTTTCTGAAATTAGGTAAGCCATTATTTAAATCATAACTTTAATAGCATTTTGAGTTCTATCCTTAGGTTTAAAGTTATTATCCTTTGCCAGGTCTTCAAGAATACAGAATACATAACTAGTGTATTTTAATTTCATTGTTCTGTCGTTTTTTTCCTTTATTGTTGTGCTAGGTGGGGGTACATTGTGTCATTTACAAAAGTTTTCATAAAGTATCAACTATATCATACTTAAATTCAACCCCTCTACCACTCTCCTTTATCTCCTCCCTGGAATAGTTTCAACAAGTCTCATTTTTGCATTTACATACACTTGTACACATTTTTTGCACTGTAGTCACTCTCCTATCGCTTTTCCCTGCCACCTCCCTCCTCCCACTGGTGCCACCCCCCACCCCACATACCAGGCAGGACCTGTGCTGCCCTCCTATTCTCCAATTTTGCAGTAGAGAGAAGAAGAAAGATAAAAAGAAAAATATGACATTTTTGTTTGCTTGAGATAAAGATAGTTATACATGGCGTTTCCTTGTGGTATTTCAATGTATGTATGTGTTATAACCCCAATCGGTTTATCTTCTCTAATTATCTACATTCCACCTTAGTCCCTTTCTTATGGTGGTTTGATTCTTTGTTTTTTCCCAAAGTTCCGGGAGTTTTAAATAGGTACCAAGAGTCATAACATTAGCAGTTCCATTTTTTTCTTCCAGGAATAGCCTAAAGTTGAAATATCAGAGTTAGCTCAACAGTAATAAGGGGATACTAGCAATAATTTAGCTCATATTTATAAAATAAAAAAGAATTTTAGGAAACATTCACGATCACCTAAATGAACTACATACTTTATAGAAACCTTGCTGATTTACAGAGTAAAGAGGGTAATGGACAAAGAATGTGGGAAGAAAGTCATAGTTATTTACAATAACAAGCTCCTTTCTCCCAGAGGTAAATTATTTTTGGACAGGAATGAACTGAAATCCTTTGCATAAGCAAGAGCTGAGTAAGATAAACATTTTAGACACTGCCAGGGATTTGGAAGACCATCTTAGCATTCCAGACTTCCCTATGGTTTTGCATGCTGTGGGAAAAAGGCCACCAGCCTGGACACCAAAATGGCCTGTTCTCAGGATGACTTCTGCTCTTAGAGCCTCTTAGCCTTCTGCACAATTTAACCCCTTTGGAGTCTGCAGGATAGGGATAATTGTACTTATTTCATAGGACAGATGTATGGATTAAAAGACAGTGCTGCAAAAAGCTTAATGGATACCTCTGTATATGGTGGGAGCTCAATAAATTGTTAAGCAACAATAATGAGCTCAAAATTCCACACTCTACTCACTAGATAGAACTCAAATCTGACCTCACTGAGGCCGAGAGTGGAGCCAATCAAAGCAACTCGTTCATTCCACACAGAAACATGTTCCATGTGCACCCCGTCCATGTTCATGTATACATGAAGGCATAGAGCCAGAGCCGGTTCTCAGACATAACCGGCAGATTTTCTATCCTGGCTCCGTCGTAGCTTTCTGCTCCTTCTCACTCCTTCTTTGACCATTCCCGGCTTCTAAATTTCACTGTGATCTACCAGTCTTTTCCTCACAGCTACCATCCAGCACCTTTTTTAGGGGTTCTCAAAATTTTAGGAATTTCCAGTGAAAAGTTCAAGACTCAGGAAAAAGTTAAAATTTCAAACGATGATTCTATACAATTTAAAGGACAAACTCTCTTCCCACACTTGGATTGTTTTATCAATATCACCCATGTACAATATTATGGATCTGTCCAGTGATTATACAGCATTGAAAATGGAAATGTTGCTTTAAGAGAATTTGAAAATACAGTTAAAATATACATAGAACAAGTGGGTCCAATACTGGAATAAAGGAAGCCCCCTTCTATTTTTAGTTATGAAAGATTACTATAAACCTTAAACCTAAAAATTTGCCTTTAAGGCCTACAATAGCTCAAGAATAAGCTTTTTAAAAATCTTAAGTCCACATAGTATACTACTGTTGAAATCTACTCTGCAGGCAGAAAAGAAAGGCTGAAGGACCTGGAGACATTGTTTTTTGTACCTATGACATGTTTTGTATTTACAGAAAGAATTCTGGAAACAATAATATTAAACTGCTCAAAAGATGGCTTCTTATTTGAATAATACAAATAAAGAATGATTTGCAGATGGATCCTTGAACAATTCTTTTGATTATGGATATAGTGTGTTGAGGAAACAACCTTAGGTCATAAACATTTAACATCAACAACCCATTTCCATGACCAGTCTTGGGGAAATTGGTGAAGTCACACAAGCTTGTTCTGTTTCCACTTCTATTTCTGTAGCCTCCCCCATGTTTACCCTCATTTCATAATTTCATCCCTGTCTCCAGGGACTTGGGACTTCTCTTCAGGATATTCCTAAGAGAAATCACCAATCAGGGTAAGTCAGTTTATGTCTAACCTCTTAACACAAGTCTTTGTACTAAGGAAAAGCACAATTAACAGGAAGCAACCCACCCTCAAAAGTGAATATAGTTAAATTTCAGATACTACAGTACTTGAGTAAAGAATTACTTGGGTCAGTGAAAGTTTTCTAGCATATGGCTAGAGTTAGAAGGATATCAGTAGTAATAATTACTTTCAATTTTATTTCTCAAATTTTGGTTATGAGGTCAATGTGCTACAATTATCAAAGACACATTCTTGGAAAAACAAAGTGGAACAACTGATTTCTAGGCTGAGTCCTAGAATCATTAAATTAAAATATCTGCAAGTGAAGAGATTATAATTTAGAAGAAGATGATGGGTAAAGAAATACCAGGTGAGTACATTACAGCAATTTTGGAAGTCATCAAAATATACCTTATAGACAAAAGCTGAGGGTTTCCATGCACTACTTGGCCTACCAGTAACTATTATGACATATTAAATAGAGATTTTATTTCACATTGTTTGCAGATCAACTTCAGCTTTGGTCTTACCAGGCACTCCAGCTTGGATCCAGAAATTGATGTCTGTCCCTTCTGCATCACTAAACACCTGGGTGATATTGAGAGGCTGCAACAGGCTCATGACCTGCTCCATGATGTCCCGGGCATTTTCACTGCCCGTGAACTCCAACCCAGTGGGTAAGAAGGTTCCTGAGTCAGACTCCATCACCAGACTGTAATTGGAAATATTTCCCTAAAAAAGAGAGACAGAGAGAGCGAGAGAGAGAGAAAAGTAGTTTACATCTGTTGCTTCTGTGCTTTCTCCTTGGGAACTATCAAACAACAATAACAAAATACTTTACCTCCTCACAAGTTGTTGCCAAAGCACATGATTCTCTGCCTGGCTTTAGGGTCCGGTCTGCATATTACCTAATGGTTCTGCAATGCAAAATTACTCACCCTGGGATTTGCCAAACTCAAGAGTTGACTTGGAAGGATTAAAAAAATGTGATGGGAAAAGTATTAAAGTCATTCACTAGTAATAATATTCTTTCAACCAATTTTCTTAAGGGTCTACCATGTACTAGCATGTAACTCCTCCACTATGGAAGGCATCTCCAGTGTTGGCCAAGCTCAGACAAAAGAAATTATGCTCTGTGAACTTACTTCTGTACCTCTTCCCTCTAAAGAGATTGTCTATCTTATTTTAATTGTGAGTTCTGCCGAAGCTAAAAGGCATACAACTGACAGGTTTGTCTTGGGTTTCTGATTTTGTTGCTGCTCCATCTGTTGACTCCCCAGGGAGGGCAGTAATAGAACAAGACATGAAACACTGCTCTCCCTGGTGTAAAACTCTAATCCCAAGCAACTCTGCCAGGCTGCTAGTTTGTAAACTCTTTCCAAATAAAGTCTGGTAAGAAAGCAAGCAGTGATTTCATGTAGCCAACACTGTCACTGCAAGAGCTTAGAATGTAACAGACTCTGGACAGGTTGCACAGCTAAATTGCTACATAGCCTTGACTCACAAATAAGAGGCCTTGTGTACTGGCCAGATCTTCCGTTTCCCAGGAATGTGCCTTTCTCTAAGATTGGGGTGAGTTATTAATTCCAAACTGTCCTCAGACAGCACTGTTACTCATTCCTTGTAATTCATCTAGTAATGCAATCTCCTTTGCTCTTCTCTGACAACATATAAGTAGACAAAGCAGCTTTATTGTTGATATAGTTTTATAAGAAAGGGTCTGTGAATTGGCGAGGTCAAGTGATTTGCTCAAAATTACAGAGCAGGAAAATGGTGGAGCTGGTTCTGAAATTCTATGCTTTCCAAACTTCTACCCTGTCATCACTAGCATAGAATTGGAGTGGTAAGTAACACTTGTCCTGCATTCAAATGAGTTTTTTCACTTAAATAACGTTGTGAGAGCTGCATAAGTACTTTTTCCTAAAGCAGATTCCATTCTCCAGTGGTTTCCTAACATTTTGTTGGAAGTGAACTGCAGCCACAAATGCCAGGGCAGTGAAACTTCTGAGGGAAGACACTGCCAGCCTTTACAGTACAAGCATGAGACCCTGGACATCAGCATTTTTGTGGTCATGAATGATGAGAAAGCTAACAAAGCAGAAGATTTCTCATATTTCCACTCTTTTTCAAGGGGTTTCTGTCTAAATGGTGATTTTCAGTGGAAGACCCAAAGCATTTGTAATAAAAGGGGCCACCTTCACTTTCAGTTGTGTCTACTACATTACAGTAACATCATTAGAATTAGTAATATGAAAAATATCAGTTGTCCATTTCTTTTCCTATCCTATACTCAGGACTTGTAAAACATACTTTGCTACGAGGTTAGCAGGTGGACAGTAATTTGGCAGTTCTGATCGTCTTCCCTCAGTATCCCCTGCTGCACCCTCGCCCCTGAGCTCTTTGTCTCCTCTGGAAAAGGGAGAAAAGAAAACTTACAATGTATCTTGCAAATGAAAACAGAATTGGGCAATTTTGTATGTGAGGGTCCCATATTGCAAGCAGATTCCACAATGACAACAAGAAAGGCAGGCAAAATGCACCTAATTATGTACTATTTAGGTGAAAAGAAGAGCTAGTTAGGAGTTTAGGTGTCAGACCCAACATTAATGAGCAGCCTGGAGCCTGGTGAGGTGGACAAAGGATTGGACCCACTCTATTCTAGTCCTGACACAGAACTGGCACTATGGGCCACTGAGGCAGGTGACTGGCCTATCCTTTCCTCTCCAAGTCCTTGAACCTTGGCTTCTGCATCTTTAGGTTGGAATGAATGCCCTTTCCCAAGGTTGAGTAATGAAACTGCATGGGGAGCTTCTGCCAACTTTAGAGAAAATACTTTTGTAGACCAAAGTGAATTGCATGAATTGAACTTACCCAGGGCTTCTAACATGATCATTAAGTACTTAGCAGTCTTCTTTAACTGAAAACGAAATGTTCTGGGGACAGGGAACATCACAGATTAAGAATACCACTGTGCAATGTCACAGGATGTTGTTAGAAACATGGAAAGTAATGTAAATAAAGAAGCTTTCAAAGATGTCGTAGATTATTTTTAAAGTAAGACCTTTTTAATGTTTTGATGGATGAGATATTCAAAAATGACATCTCACCACTTTACAAAATTCCTCCCCAATTTTTTTTATGTTTCTTTTTTTCTTTTTTTATGTTGTGCTGGGGGTACATTGTGACATTTACAAAAGTTCTTAACAATATGTCATTGTTAAACTCATCTCCTCCATCATTCCTTTTTATCCCTCATCCCTTAGAATAGTTTCAACGGGTCTCATTTTTCCATTTATATACATGAGTACATAAAATTTCCACCACACTCATCATCCTACACCCTTTCCTTATATTTTCCCTTCTCCCACTGGTACCAACCTCCCAGACCTGTTTTGCCTTCCTGCTCACTGTTTTTGAAAAAATAAGTTTTTGTTTGTTTAAGATAGATATACATGGTGAATAAATATAGAATTTTTAAACCTGTTGAAATTACTGTAAGAAGGGGACTAAGGTAGAAAGGAGAAAGATAAAGGGATTGAATCAATTTGGGTTATTATAAAACTTAAATACTTGGAAATGTCACAATGATGCCATAGGTTATATATATGGCCGCCATGTTAGCAGAGATATGAAGAGCATGGACTTTGGAGTTATATAGACTGGATTGGATCCTCATGTTTACCAGTCTGTTGCTGTGTGCCTTTGGCAGACAAGTAACCTCACAGTTTCTTCCTCTACGAAATGGGGACGATAATGGTATGCAGTTCAAGGAGCTGTGAGAAGGTGCATGATTAAGGCTTGCACATATTTCGCACTTGATAAACAGCAACATCACTGTTGTTACTGTTCTTAGCACTGAGCATCAATACAACTCAGTTTGTCAAGGATGACACCAATGCAAACCATTCTGTTAGCTGATTATAATGACGATAGGTAGCATTTTTGTGGTACATTCTATAAGCCAAGCACTGTGTGAAATGTGCAGCGGCTCATCCTATGTACTGTTAAGATAAGTGCAATTATATTTCTCATTTCACAGATAAGCCACTGAGTTTTCATCAGGGTACCAAGCTTTCCCAACTCACCCAGCTGCGAAGTGCTGCAGCAAGAGCTCATACCCCCAGTTCTGCTTGTCTCTAGTACATGTTCTCTACCTTTCATACTCTGTCATCTGAGGGTCATTTCTAACCTTCCAGCTACAAGTCCTCACTTTCCTTAATTCAGAAATACAAAGATTGTAGTTAAACAACAGTACAGATTTCGATTTTTTTTTGCATGATCATAATACATGGTTTACTTGGAAAGAATTTATCATCCTTGTTAATAAAGCACAAAGAGGACTGAAAACAAAACCAAAACTACCTCTTGATTCACAATTTCCTTCCAACTAGGAATAAAAGACCTAAAATAATAAGGTATCCTTTCAAGCCAGATAAGACAAAGATGTGTAGATATCAGTAAGCCAGAATTCTGGCATAGGTAGAGATATATTTGATTTCCATTCATGAACAGTTGTACTAGCTGCTGCTAACATGAAAGCAGTATTCTATTGTTTTCTATTTATATAAAAACATCTCCATATGTTTTCAATAAGGAACTAAGACAACAAACCACCCACCATCCATGACACTGCCTTTTTCTCCATGTTTATGGAGTCATTATCTAATTGTTAGCACATGGTGAAGGAGTTGGGAAAACAAAATGTCTCTGCACAAAGAAACTGGAGTGAATAACTGGGCCAATGGACTGTTAGAACAGCTATCTCTTAGGAATGTATTGTCACAAACATCTGGATTCTTCAGTATGCCATAAGCTGCTGGGGACAGACTCAGTGCAGATATGAGAGGCTGATTTTTTTTCTCACCCATGTTAGCACACCTTATTCAAGATATTCACCCTCTTATTTACCTGGTGGAGGAAGAAGCCTACTTCTACAGTCAGCCAAAATGCTTTATTGCTGAGATAACTAGTGCTCATTGAGACAGGTTGGGGCACATAGATGAGGAGGCTGAGCAGCTCCAGGATAAGCTCAGATACAATCTGTAAACCCCCACTTTGCTCTCTTGATAAAGGCAACATTGCTCTGTTAGGAGCCATAGAAACTGCCATTCATTACCAGGTAATGTACATAATCAACATGAAGAAATGCTCTCAGGTAGTCTCTTAGGTCAGGATCATTGGATTAGTTAAAACCTGCTCGGGGTGAGGATTCATGACTTTGTCATGTGCTACCATCACATCCTATAACACTTCTCTTTTTCTTTTTAAGGGTCAGGCTACTTTGCCAAAAAGCAATTTGGTAACCATTAGCATTCTTTGGGTGCAACGCAAGATTAAAATGAAAAAAACTGTTTAAAATACATATTGCATGTTTTAAAATGCTTACTTCCTAATATAAACACAAAGATGATGTTTGTGTTCTTTGCTTTTATAAAATTCCAGGCAATTCTTCAGAAATATAGACCCAAGCTCAATAACATCTATTCTCCCCCCAAATCTGCCTGCTTCTTTATTTAGAGGCTTTTTAACTTCTCATAACCTAGAGAAAATAATTGATGAGAAAATAAGGTTATTTTCTTATGTTTCTCAATAGGCTTTGGTTTTGACCTAAAATGGCATTGAAATCCCAAAATCAAATGGAAAAGTGCTTCCTAATTATTTAAATTAATCAGTCAATTCAATCTTCAAAGAAATTGAGTTGGCACTGACACAGGACAATCAGCCTCAGTACCACTTTTTCTCCATTAACTCTTAATATTTCACAGATGATGGGGGTGACACTATTTGGTCAGGTGGCAGGCTCAATCCAAATTTCCAAAGCAGAGCATCTCATGATGTGTGTGGTGAGTGTCTGCAGTCAGCCCTCCCAGCAGCACCAGGGACCCTGGGATTCCTACCTATAGCAGTGAAGGTGGTGGTTCTCCAT